GCGACGGGAGCTGGGCAGATCAGCCGGTTGCGCTCCTCTGCCTTTTTGGCCTTGGGGTGGCCCAAAAAAATGCATCCCCGGGTGTGGGGCTGGGTTTGAAGGGAAAAAAATTGAGCACCCGGAAGGATCCCTGGGTGTGGGGGCTGGGTTTGAAGGGAAAACAAAATGGGCACCAAAAAATGGGGCCCGCCGATGTTGTGTGTGTGTGTGTGTTTTTGCCCGTTTGTACGCATTTACCGATCGGGCAAGCCGCTTTGGGGTTATGTTTGAGGACAGCCCATTTGGGCACGGAAAGAAAGCGCAAAGAGGCGATTTCTGGGTGTGGCCCCATTTTTTGTTTGGAGCGGGTACGGCACCTTTTTTGTTGGGTGCAAAGGGAAACCAAGAGGGCAGAATCAGTGCGCCATTTCTTGTTTCTTCTTGTTTCTGTTTCTTTTTTTTGGAGGGGGGAGGGGGTCTGATTCCTTAAAAAAGCAATGACACATCCATACGTGGGCTTCACTGGTCTTGCATGGTGTTTCAGGTTTTCGCGTGTTTGGGTTCTGTTCAGTTTGTGTAGGCTCCGGAGGAGAAAACCAAGTTTGTCAAAACACTTGGGTTCCCCCATGCAAAAAGGGAACCCTCTTTTGAGCCACACCCCTATAAGGGTAGACTGCTGAGATGTATGTTCTCGGTCCCCCCCCCAATCGAGCAAGGCCAAGCAACCTGAAGCCGACACCCTTCAGCCAACTCCGCCAGCCTAAACCCACAAATTCGCCAACCCTCAACCAAGCCTCAACCAACCCTTGCCAAACCAAAAAACCGCTCGATAGGCGCGGAGGGGGGGAGGGGGGGAAGCTGGAACATCGGTGTTTCTCAACCTGGTCCCAAAAATGGCAAGGGTGTTGTCTTTTTGGCTTCCTTCAACAAGGGGTACAAGGGGTGATTTGGTGTAGCGTTGGGCCGAGGGTTCACGCCCGCAAAACGTGTCCCTTGTTGCAACTGCTCACTTTAAGGCGAATCGACCTGAACTCACCTTGTTCCCAAAAGCATCTCTGATGCTTGGGTTCTGCTTTAGGTTTTCTCTTAAGGTGCCTGGGAGCGATACAAGCTGTGACGACGGAGATAAGTTGTGCTGCAGACCGGGCGTGCGATGCCGGCTGGGGGTAGACCGGGCGTACGAGGCTGGCTGGGGGGACGGCAGTGTGGGGCTGGCTGGGGGGACGGCGGTGTGGTGCAGACTGGGTGCGCGAGGCTGGCTGGAAACTGCCCGCGAGCGAGGCTGGCTGGCTGGACTGGGTGCGCGAGGCTGGCTGGAAACTGCCCGCGAGCGAGACTGGCTGGCTGGGGGGACGCAGACTGGGCGCGCGAGGCTGGCTGGAAACCGCCCGCGAGCGAGACTGGCTGGCTGGGGGGACGGCGGTGTGGTGCAGACTGGGCATGCGAGGCTGGCTGGAAACCGCCCGCGAGCGAGACTGGCGCGGTGGACGCTCGTGACATGCGGAAACCGCCCGCGAGCGAGACTGGCGCGGTGGACGCTCGTGACATGCGGAAACCCCGCGAGCGAGACTGGCGCGGTGGACGCTCGTGACATGCGGAAACCGCCCGCGAGCGAGACTGGCGCGGTGGACGCTCGTGACATGCGGAAACCGCCCGCGACCGAGACTGCAGGCGCGGTGGACGCTCGTGACATGCGGAAACCGCCCGCGAGCGAGACTGCCGCGGTGGACGCTCGTGACATGCGGAAACCGCCTGCGAGCGAGACTGGCGCGGTGGACGCTCGTGACATGCGGAAACCGCCCGCGAGCAAGACTGGCGCGGTGAACGCTCGTGACATGCGGAAACCGCCCGCGAGCGAGACTGGCGCGGTGGACGCTCGTGACATGCGGAAACCGCCCGTGAGCGAGACTGGCGCGGTGGACGCTCGTGCGGAAACCGCCCGCGAGCGAGACTGGCGCGGTGGACGCTCGTGACATGCGGAAACCGCCCGTGAGCGAGACTGGCGTGGTGGACGCTCGTGACATGCGGAAAACGCCCGCGAGCGAGACTGGCGCGGTGGACGCTCGTGACACGCGGAAACCGCCCGCGAGCGCGACTGGCGCGGTGGACGCTCGTGACATGCGGAAACCGCCCGCGAGCGAGACTGGCGCGGTGGACGTTCGTGACATGCGGTGGACGCTCGTGACATGCGGAAACCGCCCGCAAGCGAGACTGGCGCGGTGGACGCTCGTGACATGCGGAAACCGCCCGCGAGCCAGACTGGCGCGGTGGACGCTCATGACATGGGGAAACCGCCCGCGAGCGAGACTGGCGCGGTGGACGCTCGTGACATGCGGAAACCGCCCGCGAGCGAGACTGGCGCTCGTGACATGCGGAAACCGCCCGCGAACGAAACTGGCGCGGTGGACGCGGAAACCGCCCGCGAGCAAGACTGGCGCGGCGCGGTGGACGCTCGTGGGCGCGGTGGACGCTCGTGACATGCGGAAACCGCCCGCGAGCGAGACTGGCGCGGTGGACGCTCGTGACATGCGGAAACCGCCCGCGAGCGAGACTGGCACGGTGGACGCTCGTGACATGCGGAAACCGCCCGCGAGCGAGACTGGCGCGGTGGACGCTCGTGACATGCGGAAACCGCCCGCGAGCGAGACTGGCGCGGTGGACGCTCGGGACATGCGGAAACCGCCCGCGAGCGAGACTGGCGCGGTGGACGCTCGTGACATGGGGCCGCGAGCGAGACTGGCGCGGTGGACGCTCGTGACACCCGGAAACCGCCCGCGAGCGAGACTGGCGCGGTGGACGCTTGTGACATGCGGAAACCGCCCGCGAGCGAGACTGGCGCGGTGGACGCTCGTGACATGCGGAAACCGCCTGCGAGCGAGACTGGCGCGGTGGACGCTCGTGACATGCGGAAACCGCCCGCGAGCGAGACTGGCGCGGTGGACGCTCGTGACATGCGGAAACCGCCCGCGAGCGAGACTGGCGCGGTGGACGCTCGTGACATGCGGAAACCGCCCGCGAGCGAGACTGGCGCGGTGGACGCTCGTGACATGCGGAAACCGCCCGCGAGCGAGACTGGCGCGGTGGACGCTCGCGACATGCGGAAACCGCCCGCGAGCGAGACTGGCGCGGTGGACGCTTGTGACATGCGGAAGCCGCCCGCGAGCGAAGACTGGCGCGGTGGTTGCTCGTGACGTGCGGAAACCGCCCGCGAGCGAGACTGGCGCAGGGGACGCTCGTGACATGCGGAACCGCCCGCGAGCGAGACTGGCGCGGTGGACGCTCGTGACATGCGGAAACCGCCCGCGAGCGAGACTGGCGCGGTGGACGCTCGTGACATGCGGAAACCGCCCGCGAGCGAGACTGGCGCGGTGGACGCTCGTGACATTCGGAAACCGCCCGCGAGCGAGACTGGCGCGGTGGACGCTCGTGACATGCGGAAACCGCCCGCGAGCGAGACTGGCGCGGTGGACGCTCGTGACATGCGGAAACCGCCCGCGAGCGAGACTGGCGCGGTGGGCGCTTGTGAAATGCGGAAACCGCCCGCGAGCGAGACTGGCGCGGTGGACGCTCGTGACATGCGGAAACCGCCCGCGAGCGAGACTGGCGCGGTGGACGCTCGTGACATGCGGAAAAAACCCGCGAGCGAGACTGGCGCGGTGGACGGTCGTGGCATGTGGAAAACGCCCGCGAGCGAGACTGGCGCGGCGGACGCTCGTGACATGCGGAAACCGCCCGCGAGCGAGACTGGCGCGGTGGACGCTCGTGACAGCGCGGTGGACGCTGTGACATGCGGAAAAACCGCCAGCGAGCGAGGATTCGCGCGGGTGGACGCATCGTGTCATGCGGAAACCGCCCGGCGAGCGAGACTGGCGCGATGGACGCTCGTGACACGCGGAAACCGCCCGCGAGCGAGATTGGCGCGGTGGACGCTCGTGACATGCGGAAACCGCCCGCGAGCGAGACTGGCGCGGTGGACGCTGGTGACATGACCGCCCGCGAGCGAGACTGGCGCGGTGGACGCTCGTGACAGGCAGAAACCGCCCGCGAGCGAGACTGGCGCGGTGGACCGGAAACCGCCCGCGAGCGAGACTGGCGCGGTGGACGCTCGTGACATTCGGAAACCGCCCGCGAGCGAGACTGGCGCGGTGGACGCTCGTGACATGCGGAAAACGCCCGCGAGCGAGAAAGATTTTTTTTGTGCATCTGTGCCTTTTCTTCTGGCTTCTGTGCCTTTTGGCGGGCTGCAGTTTGGCTTTGAGCACCTAGTTGGTATTTGAGTTTTGGGTATGCAAGATGTTTGCAGGTTTCAGGCCAAACTGTTTTCAATTTGTTTTGTGATCGGTCTTTGCTCACTCAAACATTTTGCTGACATGCATTGCGCCGCGCAACCCCAGGCAGTGGGCCCCAATAGTGAAGACACCCCAACTCCTTTGCCCCTTTTATGCGGTTTGCAAACATTGAGGCATTTTTAACATATTGAGCCAGTCCCACTCAAGCCCCTACTCCACCAATTCTCCTGCAGGCCGTAGACTCAGGTACTCAGATTGGCCAAGTGCCAAGGTTACTAAAGGACAAGCATGGCAAAGGCAGGGCTGAAGGGTCGAAGCCGGTCGAAAGCACAGAAAGGCGCTGATCAAGTGCCTGTGCAAAGAAAAAGGCGCTGAGCAAGTGCCTACTATGCGCTGAGTAAGTGCAAAGAGCGCTGAGTAAGTGCTCTGTCGCTTCGGTCGTTTACTGCCTTCAAACCCAAAACAGCTGAGTCTTGAAGAAGCTGGTTGGTCACATCACGAAAAGTTCACCTTTTGACACACTGTGTGAGCACATTGCTGGTGGCCGTCCAGAGGTGGTAGAACCAACCCACTGTGCAACCACACACAGCCATGACTGGGTGTTTAAGCCGCATCCATTTACAGGGCACAGACAACAAGGCGCTGAGTAAGTGCCTACGCGCTGAGCAAGTGCAAAGCGCGCTGAGTAAGTGCTCTGTCGTTTCGGCTGTTTGCTGCCTTTAAGCCCAAACA